CAGCCGGTCCCAGCGGGTGCAAGGGTCCTGCTGCGTTTACCTTTGATGAAGGCCAGGTCTGTGAGCAGCTTCAGTTCCCTACTGACATCCAGCTGGAAGTGGCTGCAGGAGGCTGTGGCCGCAGGCCGGAAGCTCTGCAGCGAGTCCGTGGCCCTGAGGATCCTGTAGTACAGGAGAGCAGGGATGTGGGGGTGGCATATGGGGGCAACCAGAGACTCCTCAGGCCCTCAACCGCCTCCGCCCCGTGGGCAAACACTGCTAGCTCGGGCGCTGAGCCCAGGCACGAGCACACGTCCATCCCAGCTCCTGTGGGGTACCTGTTGTGCAGCTGCTTGGCAGCCTGGACGAAGCAGGGGTGGTCGGTCTCCTTCAGCACCTCCTGGGCGTAGCCCACCATGCCCGAGTTCTCCAGCATGGCCTGGTGCTCTTGGATCTGGTAATGGAGGCTGGCCCGCGCTGGCACTCCTCGATTGCCTGCAGCAGGGACGCCCGCTTCTCCTCCAGCATCGCGCACAGCCCCTGGATCAGCTGGGACACCTCCTCCTTGGCCTGAGACCCGTTCGCCTGCCGAGCGCAGCCCAGTCAGCACGCAGCATGGGCTTCCCTCCCTCCCCACGCCAGAAACAGGCCGGGGAACGGAGAGCGGACCAGCCAGGCAGTGCCATCGCCCGCCCGAGAAGGCCACCCTCTGGGACCGGTGAGCACCTCGTGCCCTTACCTCTGTGTGCTTCACTGTTTCCTCCAGCTCAGCAATCTGCGTCTGCACCGTGTCCTGGCTGCTCAGGATGTACGCAAGGCTCTTTGTCAGCTTCTCCTGCAAGGAACGGGAGAGGAACGAGGCCAGTCACAGCCAGCCCCGTACGCCCCCGATCCACCTGGGCCTGGCCAGCACAGAGCAGCATCGACGCTGCAGCAAACCAAGCCCCGGCCCCATCTGCGCTGAGAGCTGCTGGGAGAAGAGCCCACCCAGCCTGTGACCCGATTGCCTTCCCGTCGAGCCCTCCCGGCAGCACCCTGCATCCCCGTAGAGGATCCTGCCCCTGCCCCATCCGCGCAGCCTTGCATCCCAGCTGCCCTCACCCTGAGTGCCTGGTAGGCGCTGAGCACGGGGGTGATCTTGTGGCTGGTGTGAGTGCGTCGCACACGGCAGAGCTGGCACACCAGGCGCTGACAGGTTTTGCAATAGTGAGTCACCTCCTCCTTGTGCTCTGGGCACATCAGACCCTGCATGGACACAAAGAAGTTCAGCGGGGTTTTGCCTCCCTGGCCAGCCCCTTCAGGGTCTCCTCCCCGGCATGTCTGTCGTGGTGCCAGGAAAATCCCAAAGGGGAAAGACCTCAATGGAGTGGGTGCACGGTGCCTGCGCTTCTGCCAACCCTCCCCAGCACCCTCCAAGGCAGCGCGCCCATCTGGTTTGCCCCGGGGAGGCGGTACCTTGGGGCGGAAGGTGAGAGTGGGCGGTGTGGGCTCATGCTGAGCCTTCTGGGTCCCCCAGGGGTGGTAGAGCTTGAAGCACTCGTTGCAGAAGCTGGACTTGCACTCAGTGCAGCCCTTGGTGGCCTCCAGCTGCGGGGGCTTGCAGAACTGGCACATGATGGCGGCGCTAATATTGATGGTCTGGCGGTACCGCTCCACGATCCGCTCCAGCGTCAGGTTGCGGAAGAGGCTGCCCAGGCCCCGCTCGCCCAGGTCCACGTCCCGCTGGCAGGCCGGGCAGGGGAAGCTGATGGTCTGGGGATGCACGGTGCCTCGCTTCCGCCCGGGGTAGGTGCCGAAGCC